ACAGCATTGCCTTGGCAGACCAAACTCTCATAAGAGACATGAGACTTGAGCGCATCGGTCCAGGAAGCTCATGCCCCAAGAAGGCTCAGATCCATGGTTTCTTGCATCGTATATTTCTCAACCTCTCACGAGCTCCCACTGTATCCGCTTAGATCCTCCGGTTTCAGGGAGATTAGTAAACATATACACAAACTAATATACTTTGTAACAGTTTGCAATGTCTCTACAGCTAAAGCTTTTAAGGTAGCAGTATTTTAAACTCACTGAGGATGACAGGCAGACCTAGACCGTGTGATGTTACATCTAAACAGAGAGCCATGAGGAGAGAAAACTCCCGAGGCAGAGCCCAAGACCTCCCTGCTCTGCCCTGGCCTCTCGGGGAGCTTTCGACTGTCCAGGGTCCTGAAAGCCACCAACTGCTTGGGCTCTCTTCTGCGTGTGCCCCTCCTTTCATGACTCTGAGAGCAGCGTGAATGTCAAAGAAACGGTGTCTCTGGAAGCCAACCCCAAATTTCCTGTTTAATAAAGAGGACAGTTATCAATCTGCTCAGGTATAGCATCATATACCTATCTCGTAAGAAATCTTAAGAAAATGACACTAGATAAGAGAAAGCACTGCTATAAAATGAATGCTGTGGCTTGTTTTTATTAAATAGGCTTGCTATTTTTGTCAGATATCAGCCTTTGATCTTATGAGGATTCTTCAGAGACATCATGGAAAAACTAAGGGCCAGACTGTAATTCTCCTATGACTGTGATTCAGGAGTAATTGTACTGAAGTCAAATTAAACCAATGTGAAACATATGTAAGTGGGTTCAGACTCAATACTATGCAGCTTGAGTTAATATCACCCTTTGACAGGGCAGATCTTTTACTGAAAAAATGCTATTGCTAATATATTTATGCTAATAATAGGCATATACATTATTTTTTTCAGACAGATTTTAAAATGTGAGGTATCTACTCCACTGCAGTCCCTGCTGGTCATACAAAGGGAGTGAACTGATATAACCAGTGTCTAAAAGCTTGAGTCTGGCTAAGGAAGAATGGTTACCAGGAAAGAACTGAGAATGAGAAGGTGATTGCAGGCTATGAACCAAGTATCTCTTCTCCAGTTCCAGCATTTAGGGGAGAGTCGCTTATAGTGGCACTGGGAATATGAATAATATGTTAGGACGTGAAAGACAGGATCTGCAGTGTATTCTGCTTAGTGTCATTGGACAAAGAACCTGCAGACAGGCTGTTGTAACTCAAATAGGTCAGGTCTGAGAAGATACTACCATGGAAATGGCTATTAGTGAGGTGTTGTAGCCTCAAGTATTCTTACTGATTTCACTGAAACTATTTCTGGCAATAAGAATTGTATTTACTCTTCTCTGGATTCATCCTTGAATGAGTGAAGACCAAGCTTTGCACACTAAGACTTAACAACTGCTAAGAAACTTCATATTGTAAAATACTTAATAAAAATAGTAGGTTGTTTTTGCTTGTTTTTTCTTGCACTGCATAGTGCATAGTAGTCCTGATTCTTACTTAGTTGACATCTTGATTCCTAGTTGCGCTATAGTTTCTGAAAACCATCCTGGCAAAGTTAAAAGTTTTTCAGGTTAGCCTAGACAGAAGGCTAGAAAGGTCTTCCTAGACGTAAGGCTTCCTAGAGAATAAAGAATAATAAAAGGATTCTGCCCTGGATCCTGTCCAAATTCATCATACTAAAGGATAGGTCGATAGAGTATAAAGAACGGAATGGAGTTCACTTGGGTTCCTCTGGCTCTCCTGGTCTGACTGTTAATAAGAGCAGACCTGTGGCAATAAACTGAACAAAGAGTAATCTTCATAATCAGAACTAACAGTTTTCAGACAACCCTATATGCAACCATATACTGAATGGTTATATTCATGAATATTGCAAAGTGATCACACAAAGACTGTCACAGTCTTGGTCTATCTAACCAAGTCTCATCTCTTCGGTGCATCCAAGAAATGCAACATACAAGTTTGTGATTTCTGTGTACTGTGGATGAATTTTTCCATTCCTGCTCACTGGGTTTAAGTAGATACAAGCTCTATTTATTCATCTGCTTTGCTGCAGCTTTCTTTGAGTTATATCAGAGCAGCTTCTAAATCACTCATGCCATATTACTAATGAACAGTAAAAGGGCACTTAGCATTTTATTATTCTGTCAATGAGATTGCTTGTAAATAGAAAGCCTCTTGTCTGTTACATTGTGATGGTCACAGGCCCAGTTCTGTGAGGCACTGATTCTCAACTAACACCAACTCTGAGGACACTCAGTTTGAACAATGAGTCATAAATAAAAAGAAAGAATTTAGACAAATCAGTTTGATAAATTACTAATGTGAAGTCAGATTCTGAAAATTCTCATGCAAGTAGTAAAGTAGATTGATCGTGCTATATTTATGTTTTTTCTTGGTGGTCTCTCATTTAAACATTAAACATCACTGAATCTGCTTAGCTTATAAAAGTTGATAGAATAACAGCTTGAAACACTACAGCTTAAAGGCACCAGTTCTCCCTATCATGAGAATTCCACATCACTGAGAGGTGAAAGGCCTTTTATTTGCATAAGATAATAGTTTACGTTTCTATGCAACATCTGTGCTGTCTGTGAAAGATGCACTCATTGTGCCAAATTCATCTCTGGAGTAACCCCATTGATTTTAAATGAGTTACTTTGGGAATAAATTGGCCCACAGGATAAAAAATGCAAGTCTAAGGCATTGAAATAATTGAGCACGATTTCCATGATCATAACATAGTAAAAAATTGCAAAACAATAGTATGATATCATGAGTTTCTGTAGCTGATTCTTAAAAGAGCAAAACTCATTTGCCACGTGATTTTTAAACCATACAGCTGGAGCCAGGGCAAACATTTGTGTAGAGCTTACAGATACTTTTGGGGAGTAAGGGAACATTAAGAAGGTGCAAGAGACAGGAATGTGATGCAGTGTCATTATTATGAACTTACTATTTTTATGATACTATAAGTCAAACAAATATGAGATGTCTCCCTGTGGTCAGTTTAATAATAAAAGATTCATATGGCCACATGAAAATTCTTCTTCTTTAAACAGTAATGATCAGGATCTGTTTTTTTTACAGAGGCTTGGTAATGAACTACCTGAAGATTTCACCTCTAGGCTATATATTTATTTCCTGCTTATGTTAGCAGAAATTAAATGCTGTTGGCCTTTCAGAAGCCTGTTTGAGTTTGGTGATCTCAGGTGAGTTCCCAGTGGATAGATGTCTGCAGGACAAAACCCACTTCATCAGTTGCTGATAGTCACCATGACTGAGTGATGTGTGTCTGTATGTTGTTTTTTCTCAGTAAAGGACAAGGAGGATGCCAGTAAACTGGAAACAGTTTTGAATGCTGAGAAAAAGTTAAATACATATATATGTAACGTAATTAGTCCTTTATTGATGCATGTTTGATAAGTGACCTTTTTTTGGATCGAGAAGTCTTTTTTAAAGTCTTCCTTGGTTGCTAGAATAATGAAAAGATTTCCCAGTCATGATTCAAGCAATCAGCACAATTAGCAAAATCTACCCTCAATTTTGTTTCCATTCAGTTTGCAGAAGTAACATCAACAGGAATCCCAAAGCCTCTTCAGAATGCATCATGGTTTGCTTGCAGAGGAAACACTTTGTACTCCTGGTGTCATCATTGCAATCATCTCAAATTCAAGTATGACTGAGCAGGCTCATTATCATTCTCTCCATGTCCTCCCTTACAGCAGCCTCTCCCGCCTCCTCATGTACAGCACAAAACAAGAGCCACAGGGGTGCTTGGATTAGGAAAAGGAGAGACACCCAGCACCTCCCCCCAAGAAAACTTGCTGCACTACTTCCTTCTGCTTCCTTCAAACTATATTATTGCACACCACCAACATATCAAAGTGGAGCCGCTGATACTGATTTGCCCTTCCTGCTTAAGGCTGAACAAAGGCTGGGGACAAGCATGGATGTGTGCATTTATTTAGCTCCTGAATGTGGGTATGAAAACAGTGTCCTAACGTCCAGAGCAAGAGTTTCCTGAGGAGAGCCACAACGCTTCAGGCTGCCTTTTTCACCAGGGCAGATTTCGCCCTTTCTCGCAGTTAACTAGCATCCAAGCAACAGATGGGGAAGGAAGATAGACAGAGAGGGGAACTAAGCAAAAAATAGATATGGGGCAAAAGCAGGGGAAAAATTGCCTTAGGGACTAAGTTTAGATTACAACTCTGTTTCCTGAAAATTCAGAAGGTCCTAACCTCAAGGCTGATTCTGATGTGGGTCACTGACACAGGACTCATGCGAATTTTGGGGTCTCTCCCTCAACCCATCTGCAGCAAATGTTCCCCTTCACACAATGAGTTCGTCTCCGCTGTGAAAGAGAGGAGACAGGACAGGGTTAACCTCACACACTCTTCCTTTAGGTCCCCCGAGGGACTGGGGTTTTGTTTTCCTGGCTAAGGGAGGGAAGCTGAGGCAAAACTGTGACTTGAGCTGGAGACCTTTCTGACATAGACTGATACCAACCTGTTTTGGACTTGAAGGAGGAAAGCATTATCACCCGGAGCAGGAGGGAGAGGAGGAAGAATGCAGACTTGGCAAACAGCGAGCATCTGATGATAATGGTCAAACGGAGAAACCAAATGTCCTCCATTTCCCCAAAGCCCCTGAGACCTTGGGAGGGCACTGACACTCCTTGAGCCTCCCTCCTTGACCTCCTACCCCCTCCCTGCAGGCGGACCACATCTCTCAGCTCTGCCTGGGTTTGCCTTGATGCCAGGAGGCTATCCTTAACCCCCGCGGGGAGAAAAGGGGCAGGAGTCTTGCTTGCAGGGTGCCCGATCGCAGCGCCAGCGGCTGGGCTGCTGCCCCACGCCGTGCCTGGGCTTCGACGGTCCCCTGCCCTTCCTTCCCCTCCCCCTGTGCTGCGGAGACTCTGGATGCTGCTCTGCTCCTGCCATGTGCTGCTGCTGCTAGTAGCTAGTCCAGCGTGTCTCTGGCTGCAAACTCCGCCAAACAAGCCTGCATCCTCCTCCAGGGAAGGATACCCAGTAAGTACCAGTGGGAGCCTCCCCTTCCCTCCCCTCCCTAGAGCACCCACTCTGCGACCTCCTCTTACAAAGGGACTCGCAGCTTCTTCCCCTACCTTCCTCTCCCCACCCCCTTTTTAAGCCAGTGCAGAGGGGGCTCAATGAATTCCCTCCAAAGCTATAGGGTGGCTCCCTCCTCCTCCTCCTCCTCCTCCTCCTCCTGCTCTTCTTTCTCCGGCTCTCCTCGCTAGCCTGGCTGCTGCTGCATTCAGCCGGGGTGCTCCCTCAGCCTCTCCCCAGCCATGCCGCTGCAGCTCACCCCGGATGGCTGAGTTTTGTTGCCCCTGTAGTGCCCGGGGCTGAGCTGAGGTGGGCTCGTTTTTGGGGGGGGCAGAGGCTGGAGAGTGCGTGTGCGTGTGGGAGGCGTCCATCAGCTGCGGGGGCTGGCTGGCCCCCCCGGCCTTTGCAAGCCTGCAGGCGCGCCAGCCTGGGTGCCCCCTTAGGTGGGCACAGCCAGAGGTACTGGGCTGCAGTGGGGACCCCACCGCCCCACATCTGCAGGTGGACTGGCGAGCCAGCTGCTGGGAGCCTCCCCGAGAGCCTGCAGCACCCCAGACCTGCTGCCCATCTCCGGCTGCCCCGTCCCTGCTCCCCCCGCTCCCCCCCAGACCCTCTCTGGTGCTCACTTCTTCTCTTCACCTCTCTCTGCTGGGGTGTCTGCACCCCTCCTCATCTGCCCAGTACAAAACCCTCCATTCCCCTCCCCTTTCCTCCCCTCCCCATCTTCCTTGATTTATTTGTGTATTTCTTTCCTTGGCAACCACCAGTTTCCCTCAGTCAAACAGCGCAGGCTCCCTATAATTTGAAATTAATTTGTTTGACTGCAGCATTGAGACAGGAAGGTTGGGAATTTATTTAATTTTTTTTTCCTCCCTGTGCAAAAAGGAAGCGATGAAATTTCCAATCGAGACTCCAAGAAAACAGGTGAACTGGGATCCTCAAGGTTGGTGATTCTCTATTACTATAATTACTGTAGTAATAACAATTATTATTATTCCTTTTGCCTAGTGACTCGTAGCAGACTATTTGACTCCAGACGGGAGGAGACGTTGGATGCTCGTCTGCTTCCCATGTGCACTGCTCAATCTTTTTGCTCAGTCCTAGCAGTGCATTAGAAAATGCTCCTCAGATGTGGGGTTGGGTGGGTGTGTAGGTAAAACCTGTTTCAGATGTAAGTTTTATAGCTCTATATCTGATGATTGTCTTCCCTCCCCTCCCTTTTTCTTGAATATTTCCATGGCAAACTTGCCTGGGATGGCTGTGATCTCTGGCTCAGAGCATTGTTTGTTTTGTTTTATCTGTGGCTCCTTTGTTGTTTCTAGTGATCATTGTCTCTGCTAAACGGGTGGTATAGGAGTGGACACAGATGTGACTGCTTGCTCAGAGCTTCTTGATGGCAAATGTCTGTTGGCAAGTAACCGGAGCAAAATGCTGCTGCAATATAACCTGTAGTGTGGGCAATGCAAAAGATATATGTTAAATAATGGAGCCCAAAGGGACCTTTAGGTTCTTTACTCTGTCCTATTATAATTCATCAGCCCAAGTGGGTGGTTTGATTAACTCTATAGTTAGGTGTGGAATCTGTCTTGGGGAGTGTGTTTGTGTGATGGTGGAAGGAGATTTACGCCAGTGCAGTAGTTTTCAGTAAAATGATTCAATGAAATATTCTCCTTTTCTGGCATGGGGAGAAGGTTCAAATGCAACCTACAGAAGAAGTGACTTAGCCCTCCCCCCCGCCCCCCAGCACTTTGTATACTGGTGTGTCATATTTCTGTACATTGGTACAAGAGCAGAACAAGTTGGAAGCCATACGCTCAGGTTTGCAGCAGAACTGCTGGCAGCCAGTTGCTGTTCAGCAGTGATTGCAGGATGTTAGCATGGGCTTTGATTATTCACTTTTATTCCGCAGGTTTGGTTATAGCGGTCAGTGTGTCTGTCATCCTCCCTACCCTGGTATCTACAACATGAAATATTGCAAACAGTTTCTTCTGGCATAGAAGGAATATAGCAGGATACACATCTTTCTGCTGAGCGGATCTGATGTAGTATTTGAATAGTATGCACAATTAAGCTTTAGTTTAAGCCTTACTACAGCTTTAATTAGGTGAAGGCTGAAATCGACATGTAAGCCTCCTCCACCCTCCGCTTCACAATGAGCACATGGGCAGTGGTGCTAACAGAGATTTGATGATTTTAGTAACTCTATATTCCTTATACTTACAGTCAAAATTCTGCATGGTGAAAATTTGCTCTTCCTAGGTGCTTTTGTGAATTCATGTTTGCTGTTGCTTCGTTCTACTTCATGTTATGTATTGCAAAAAGCCTTTTACTGAAAAAAAGCTGTTTTCTCTCTTTCCCCTTTCCTGCCTGTACTGATAGCATTCTGTATATTGCTCCTATGCTTGGCAATCAGCTCTGAAGGATCCAACAGGTGGTTGGTCACAATCTACTAATGTATCTGAAACCTCAGTGTACTGAAACACATAAAACACCTCAAACGCAGCAGGTTTCCTTTCTACTGGGATAAATCCTTGCTAAGGACTGCAGAATCCTGCCTGTTATTTCCCCTCAGTGTATTGACTTCATTATCTGAGCAGCAAGGGTGCTAATGTATAGCCAGGAAGGAAGCAAAAAATGTTAATTTCTAATTCTCTGAGGGACTCAGGAAATAGATAAAAATCAGTGGCATGGACAAGGCAAATTGGTAAGGAAAAGTTTTCTAAGGTCCAGTCCTTTAATCCATATATGAACAGTCCTATGACATTATATGCACATAGTTCCACTGAAGAATTAGTGGTGTGGGTAGAAGACATATAGTAGATCAGAGTTCCATTTTTTTTGAAATAAGAGTGTATTTACATAGATATAAATGTTAGCAAAGATCTACACAAAAATACTAAGAACCCTAAAATGAATTTGTTTTACAATCATATATAGTTTGTTCTACATGTACATGTGAAGAATGCTGTTCCATTTCTTATAGTTTATGATATCTTTGGAGTTAAGAACTGAAGAGAGATACAAAGATCCACATGTAGAAATCTGGCAGTACAAGGATAGAAGCAGTCCTAATTCTTAAAAGCAGGACTCGTGTCTAGTTAATGCTCACCCTCAGATAGCAGGGTCATTCCACTGTGTATTGTGTGATACTATGATAGTGCACTGTTCTGGTTGTCAGACAGAGAACCAGTGGTTTCCACAGTTTTATCTAATATGAAGCGTGCTGACCTGTACCAACAGTAGCTGAAGTATATCAGCTGATGTTTTTGGTAAGGAAGGCAGCAGTTTGGAGATGTAAAAGAGACCTATGGTATCTTTAAAGGTGGTTTTAGATTAGATTATTCCAGGCAATATTTTCTAGGAACACATAGGAATACATTTTCTAAAGGCCATGGATTTCGTTATGGAGATATGGCTGGCTTGGGACTAATGATGTTGCTGATTTGAACCCAGGTTAGAATGGCATCACTGAAATGAATTTATGCTCAAATTCCAGAATAATCGCAGTACTATAAATATTTCGATAGATAAATAGATTTGAGCCTGATGGTTTCTTGCATAAAACTGGTATTCTCAATTCACATCAGCAAAGATCAATACAGCATAGAAAGGCTTTGTGGAGAGAACACGTTTAAAGGAGGAGAATTGACATGAGGGATTGTGTCTGACAGACAGCTAATTGGAGGTTGATTTCTCAGCCGCTAGACTGGAATGAATAGGGCATGGAGACTGAAATGTGCTTTTATCTTGTCGTATAGTACCCACTCATCTCGGATATTTGTACTGTCCCTGTATAAGTTCTGTGTGTTTTCTAGATAAACCAAATATTTCATAAACCTGTACAGTTATGTCCCCTACTATCCCACGCAATCAAACTATATAATCCCATTCATAAACTGATCAAACTCCGTCCCAAAAGTCAATGAATTTGTCCCTAGCATTCTAATATGAAAGCTATCCTAGAATCTCCTTTATATTGATTAAAACGAGTATAACAGTCTACGTAGTAATCATGTACAGTGAGTGAATCAGGTAATAAATGAGTTAGAAAAAACAAACAGGCATCTCAAGAATGTAGTCATTTTAGGGAGAGTGGGGTACACTGAGTAAGGTATAGGATCTCACACTGAAAAAAAGGCTGCTGTTTGTGTTGGTGTTGGAATCAGTCTGGGTTTATATAGTCATAAAACATTTGATCTACCGATCATTTATTTTTGCTTCTCTCATTTGAGACAATTCAGGCAATCTAACATTCACTGAAATTAGAGAAAGATCCAGTTTTTAGTTTCATACATCACACGATTTCCCATCTAACTGCCTCTGAATTTAAGGTTGGATTTACAGCAGCCCATGAAGATGTTAACTCTTGTAATTGTTCTTCTCATCCTTCCTCTTACCCACGCTCCTCCTGCTGTTTGTTAAACCAACCTGTTGTCCTCGTTTAAATTAGTTTATAAACTCTTTGCACATATATTTTTATACAGAACCTGAAACACATTAAGTCCCTCATCCTGACTGAGACATCTGGATATTACAGCAATATCAAATTATTTCTACTTATTATCTTGTTATTTGCTTAAAATTGCTGTTTCTTGGGAGAAAAGTGACTCTGGAATAACACATGTACTGGAGCTAAGCTCCAGCTTGCGCATGCATTGGTAAAAGATAGTTTTAAGAACACTTTAAGATGGTATGAAAATAGCCTTGAAAGTGTTCCTTTAAAGAGCTGATTTTCTAAAGTGAATATATTACTGTAATTTGTCTTATTTGTCTAAGAGGAATTTCCTTGGCTTGAAGAAGGGTAGATAGGACACTTTCCAATATGCTCAGAAATTATCCCTAAGCATGAATGTCTTGCAGGGTGATAGCAAGATGTCCTTTCCAAGGAAGGTATGTTTATCTTCATGATCCTTTTAGCAGGCAGATGAGGGAGCTCAATTTTAAGCTGCTCTGATAACACGTTCAGGAGGTCCTAGTCCATCCTTCGAGCCTGTAGTTTGATGCTGTCACTTTAGTGATATGAGCTGTCAAAACCTGTGGAATTTCAAAGCTCTGAAGCTTTGATACAACTACCTGACATCTATCACAAAGATGTCTTTTGTGTAGGATTGTTTTCTGCAGTTTGGGGCTCTAAAATCACACATTTATTATCATCCTTATATTTAGTGTAGGAGTTAGTGGTCTGTGGGGAATTCGAGCTGTGGTTGAGAGTCAGGAGTTCCTCCTCAGATTCTGCCAGTGACTTAATGTTTAACCTTCAGTGAGTCACTTAACCTGTCTGTTCCTCCCTTTTTCCCTGACTGCAGAATGAGAATATTAATACTTCCCTAATGCACAAGGGTGTTGTGAAATATAATTAACTTGTTTAGAGCACTCTAAGATCTGCTACTGAAAGAAGAACATATGTATTGCAATCAAATGCTAAAACAATTTGGAGGGAGCAAAATAGCCTCTGTCTTCATACACAGATCACATCATTTAAGAAATGAGGTTATCTCAGCACTTTACAACTAGAGGAAGCTAATATTACTTACACATCTTTACAGATACTGAGGACTCAACTGAGTTTGCCGTTAGAGGTATCTGGAGCCGTTTTATATTCCCCAGCTGCCGCTCCAGAGGGCCACAAGTCTTCCACAGGTCCTATGTCACCTGCCATGGGATTTCTCACTTCACTGAGACACCTCAGGTGGCCCTGGACACCTACATGTGGGGCAACTGAGCTGATCTAGGGTGCTTTCATGCAGATATCAGAATTGGATCATCTCTTGATGGCTGCTTGCTCAAAGAAATCTTCAGTATTGACTACTCAGTATGCTGGTACTTGCTACACTGTTACAAACTGCTCCAGTTGCTGTTTTTTTCCTATGCTTTAATGTCAAAGAGGCCAATGCAGAAGGCAAACTGTATTATAAAGGCATAGGTGAACAGGATGGGGATGTT